TCCTGAGGGAAGAAGCCCTTCCCGCCCCGCTCCTGCCCGGGCCTGAGGGAAGCAGCGCCGCTCCCGAGCACCTTCCCCGCCCAGGAGGCCGCTGCCCGCCCGGCCCTTCTCCCGCCCCGCCGCGGGGACAAAGGGTCCCGCTCCTCCTTCCCCGCGGTCCCTCGGAGCCGCAGCTCCCGTTCCGCAGGCGGAGGGGCGAGGGGACGTGGTGTCTGTGCTGGCAGGGGCTCCCGGGACAGCCCGTGGGAGCCTCCCCAAGGAGCCGGGGTCTCTGGTCATCGCTGCTGCTCTGCCCGTCTCCTTCAGGGTGTGCTCAAGGCTGGTCTGCAGATGGAAGGGGAGAAGGAGCCGTGCCTGGACATCTGCGAGGTCACAGGAAGGGATCTCCTAACCTACATCTCCAAAGGTGAGGGATACACCCAATCAGTTAAATGCCTCTGCAGCATAAAGCCGGTAAAGTCACTTCTGCCTTAAGTTTACAGCCAAGTGGCAGGGTCATCATTGGTCGTGAGGAAATAAGGATGAGAACAATCCTTAATCGGGGGGTGAAGAAGGGGTGTTGCCCTCTTGAGTGCAACCTTAAACTGGGGCTCAGTAAAGGCTCACAGTCTCTTAAGCCTTCTTCTTCATCTTGCTTTGTTGCTGAGCACTCACGTTGGCTTCTCTCATTCAGATGATGCGGCCAATACTGGGAATGAAGGTGACAGTCCTCTGGCTGATGATCCCAAGAATGTGAAACAGTGCAAGACATTACTAGAGGCAATTGAAGAGAATGTTCTCCAGAGATGCAGCAAGGCCTGTGAGATCCAGAGCATGCCAGAAATACACCCAAGGGACCTCCCTGGGGAGAGACAGGATGATGGCATCCGTCTAGAAACGGCCCCTGAGGGGCCCTGCATCTTCCTCCACCCAGAAGATGCTGTGGGAGATGAACACCCTGGGTACCCTGAGTGTGAGGAAAACGTCGGTCACACATCAAGTCTTCAGCAGTGGGAGGCATCCCAGCCAGAGAAACTCCACAAATGTCCCAGATGTCAGAAAGGCTTCAAGTGGTACGCTGATTTAATTAAACACCAGAGAACTCACACGGGTGAGAAGCCCTTCATATGCAGTGAGTGTGGGGAAAACTTCAGGGTGAGCTCCCACCTTATCTCCCACAGAAGAGTGCACACAGGGGAAAGGCCCTACTCTTGTCTCAAGTGTTGCAAAAGCTTCAGCCGCAGCTCCCACCTTCGGAATCACCTGAGAGCCCACAGTGGCGAGAGGCCCTTCCAGTGTCTGCAGTGTGGGAAGCGCTTCAGTGACGCCTCAACGCTCACCCAGCACCAGCGAACCCACACGGGTGAGAAGCCCTACGTCTGCTCCCAGTGTGGGAAGTGCTTCAAGCAGAGCGCCCACGTCCGCAAGCACCAGCGAGTCCACACGGGAGAGAAGCCCTTCAGGTGCGCCGAGTGCGGGAAGTGCTTCCAAAGCAAGGCACACCTCACGCGGCACCGTGGGCTTCACCTGAAGTAGCCAGGCAGCATTTCCCTTGGGAATGTGAGCGTTGGCACCTTTCCTGTAAAAAAAAAGAAAAGAAGAAAAAAAAAAGTTAATTTTTCAGTTCTGTGCTGTGGCTGAAAGAGGGAAGAAACCACCGAAGGAAGGAGAGGGTCTCTGCCGCAGCACAAGTAGGTTGCTGATGAGGTGGGAGGGGGGTGGGAGGCTAGGGGCAGAAGTGGGGACAAGCTTCCTGTCAGCAGGAGCTGCACGTCCTGGGGATTGAAGGAAGGGCTGTGGTAACAAGAAATAGGGAAAAAGTCCAGGAAATGAGGAGTTCAGTGCTTAGAAATCTGATTCTTTGTATCACAGCCCTTGGCGTGATGAAAAGATCTCCCTGTCTTACTGAGAAGGCAAAAATTACAAAGCAGGCTCCAACAACAGGAGCCTGCATTTGGGAAATAAGTCACTTAATGAACTGCAGAAGAAAAGTTGGCCTTTATTCTCTCTGGCAGAGTCTGTAGGTATTTTAGGAGCTCTGTTAAACCTGGGCAATGATGTCCCAGTTTTCTGGTACATGTTGTATTATTCCAGCTCTTTGATGTTTTGAATGCCTTCCCCTATTAAATTGCATCTCTGCTGATGTTGTTCTTCTCCTTCCTTTCTTGCTCTATTTCCGTGTACCTGGATTGTCCTTTCCTCTACCTTAGTGACAGAGCAGCTGTGTCTGACCCATCATCAATTTCACTGGACATTAGGATGGAAATCTCACTAGCCTGAAAAAATATAATAATATGGGTGTTTCTCTGTGTTAAACACCTTTTGGCTTTTCTGAGCAGTGTTTGATAACCACCTCAGCAGTATTTTGTCTTACCCATCCTGAGAGCCTTATTGAACCATGGAGACAACTGAGGTAACAGTGTATATGTAAATATATGGACCTGATTCATAGCTTTCCTAGCAGCAAATAAAAGGCTGTGAATTTTACATACTTGAGAGTCTTTTGGAAGCTTATGGCCAGCTCAGAGTCTTCTGCCTAGGTGCAGAGCAACTGGAGGGGAGAGGAGTATGAGTGGTGGTGGCTGGAGGGAAACAGACTGCAAATGGAGGGCCCCAGAAGGAAATGGAAGGGGACCAGAGTGGAACAGGGTATGTACAGAGGGGAATGGAAAGGAATCATCTGGTGGGGAAAAAGACAATGCAGGAGACTGGCATGGAAAAGAACTCACTCTGAATCATGAGCATAACCTTTTTACAAACCAGAAGAGCTCTTACACTATCAGAAGTCTTGGGGTCCAAACTACCAAAGAAAAGCCCTCCCCTTGGTCTTGTCCTCCCCATCTCCTCTTGATCTGCTTCTGCACCCATCCTGGGGTGGGGGGAGGGCACAACCTGGGAAAGGACCTGCTGCTCAGAAGGGGTGTTGACTGTACCAGGCATCCAGGGACTCACTCCCTGTTCATTCTAGTGTGCTTCCTGCCCAGAGTCCCTTCTGAGGCACCTGCAGCAGATAGTGGTTTTTCTCACACAGGAGCAGGAAAACGAGCTCTGCAGTCACACACTGGCTGGATGGCATCCTCCCTGGGTATAAAAGTCCCTAATAGGCATTCCCAAGGAGACAAGCTGGCAGTAAGCAGGGCCTGCAGGTGGGGCTGGTTCCTGCTGCTATTTCTCTGCCAGCACAGTGAGAAAACAACCCAACAGGACTTGTTGGGGCTTCACTCCTGGAGGGAAGGGGAATGGCATTGGCTGTGCAGACAGGGCAACAGTGGGAAGAGGCAGGGACTCCTCTGCACCCTCCTGCACCCATCACAGTGACCTGCTTGTGGGAAATGGGGCATGGGAGGCAGGGGGACACGAGCACCCATATGCTGGCCCTGCTGAGGCTGACCTTCAGGACCTTGGGAGCTGCTGCCATAAGATCAATTTGAGCACTTACATGCTTGTCTACCATGAGCAAAATCAAATGCATTGATTGATTGATTGATTGATTGATTAAACTCCAGTGCACGTGGCAGCTTGCTTGGCGTTTGCAATTCCAAATTTCATTTTCAGGTCACTCATTCTTAAGGCTAGACATAAATTTTCTAACTCTCCATCAGTCGCTAGAGGTGTTATCAGCATACACTGTAGCAGGGGATGGGTCTCCTTTAGCATGGGCTAGATTTGTGTTCTCACTAAAACGGAGGAACTCTGGTGGAGGTGTTGAGAGTACAGCTCCATGGAGAAAGGTGGGGACATTTACATGACTATCTGTGGAGCAATGGCATTCAAATAGCACTCACAGTACTAGTGTGCTGAGTGTTTACAAAGCCCTCTACGGGAGCCTGGGAAACTTAATTCTGCATCCCCAGAAAACAACTGGAAGTTCTGGTGGCTGGTATTTGACTGCTTTGGATCTTACACACTTAACCTAAGATGTTACTAAAGAAAATGGTAATGTTTGCACTGGGACTATCTAATGTCTAGGGTACTGAATAGCTAAACTGAACACAGACTTCAAGCTGCCAGCATCTCTGGAAGTGTGGTTTATTTGCATTAGGACTGAGTCAGGTAAAATATTTCTGTTCACACCATACTGAACAGTACAGAGAAATCCTGATCTTTCAGAGCTGTTTTCAGCAAGTGAGGTGTATGTTTAGGAAGCAAACACTGCATCACGTCTTTGTTCAGATAAGTTCTGTATTTTTGGCCCAATAGTCATTACACATTCTGCAGAGACTCATATGGCCATCAGAAAAGCACAGGGACAGCACATGCTCATCTGTCAGCTAAAGGTAGCTTTTGTTTACATCTGAAACCTAGTTTCTTTTTCCTCAGTGTTCACGAATGTCTTGACTCTGCAATGGAAACCTTCCAGAGACCAAGTAAAATTGTCCTGCAAAATTTTTCTCCTTTTCATCTTGTTGAAGCTGTTGTTGTTCTGGAAAGCCATTAGATTTATTGCAAAACTGGTAACTAGGAGAATGAGAATGGATGAGAAAGTCTTGCCCTGACTCGGTCTCCACCTTCTCTCCCTCCACACACTGCCCTAACTTGAAGCTATGTTGTACTTATATTGCACTTTTGGCCTCACAATGCCTCCAGTGCCCAAATTTCCTCTCAATTTTGAGTGTCAGGTGAATGGCACATGCAACTGGACAACACACTTGAAAAAGGTGAGCAAGATTTGTAACAGCTTTTGCAATCAGGCAGCTTCTCCCTGCTGTGTGTTTGGTAAGGCTGACAAGAGCTGAGAGAGCAGGGGATAGCTGAGTAGTGCATATTTGCAAAGTGTAATCATAGCTCTAGGATGAGCTGTGCTGTACAAAAGCCTTGAAGGTGGTTTGGAGTGAAAAGAAGGGCTAATGTGTTCACGCCATGGACTGCGTGGAGTGTCCACTAACATAGTGTCCTTGTGGTGCAAAGATGGAGAGGTGGATGTGGCCTGTTCAGAATAGTTACCCTGATCAAAGTTACCCTGTACTCAATAACCAAACGACCATTTCACTTTTAATCATTCTGTGTTGAAGCGGTGAGGGGTGAGGGGACTGTTACACAAAATCTTCATTTAAGTGCTTTGTAGATACCTGCTGCTGGTGTTCACCCAGCTCTCTCCTGGCTCAAGGCCCTACTTGTTCAGCCAGGTCTCGGCTTCTCTTCAGACTTAGGCAGCCTTGCTTTGAAAGTACTCCCTTCTCTGTGGGACCAAGGATGCCATCCACTGCCCGGTGCAGCGCTTGGCCTCTTCCCACGTGTAGCGGGGCACGTAGCCAAAATCCCTCTGTGCTTTTCTGTAAGAGAAGGTGAATGGGGTATTCAGCAGAGTGACCAGGTGGCGGTTGGTGGAGGGGATGTATCGGACAAAGGGCTTGAGCAAGAAGCTCACAACCTCCAGCAGCAGCGAGAAGTAATACAGCATTGTCAGAGGCATGGGGAGCCGGGGCTCGATTCCAAACCCCAGGTCCCTGGTCAGCTCATAATTCAGATCAGCGTAGCTCATATGAGGGGTGTCATCTGAGATGTAGTAGAACTGCCCCCTGATGTGCTTGGCTTTCTGTGGGACCTGCAGGGCTTTAGCTGCTTGCACATGTGCCCAGGCAATGTTCCCCACATACACAGGGTTTACCAAAGCCTCCTTCCTGGAGAAGCGCAGGTAGACGTTTTTGTTCATCAGACACTTATCCAGGTGACCTTGGAGAAATGGGCATCCTTCTCCAAAAATGTACATGGATCTCAGGGCACAGGTCATCAGCATGCCACCATCCTTTAACACCTGGCCATCTGCTTTCAGCACAGAGTCTTCTGCCAGTCTCTTACTCTGGGCATACGGAAATTTCGATACGCTCTCATAAGCCATATCTTCATCACCATTGAAAATGGGGTCACCTCTGCAGTTTGGGCCTGTCACTTCTATGGTGCTGGTATATATGAAGTGCTGGACGTTACAGCGGACACATGCCTCCAGCAGTAGCTGAGTGCCTTCAAAAGAGAAACATGCAGGTCAGTCTACAGGTCTCTAAGCAGGGAAGAGTGGGCTTTTTAGATCAGAAACAGCATCTCTATCTTGAGCTTGGGCAGATCTCCCCTCTCTGCAGCTGGAAGAATCCTATCCCAAACTGGGCAGCATGTTCCATGAAACTGAACCTGCTCTGAATGTCTTTAAGTGCTATCAGTGCATCTGCTGGAGTTAACCAAGGATTAACGTGTAGTCTTAGTTGCATGTTGTGGGTTTTTTTATGCCAAGAGTCAAGTTCTTCTCTTGCTTAAGCTATCATAGACACTGACCATAGACACAGGTGTTTGTGCCTGTTGGTTGGGTTGACTGGCTCAGGGATGAGAACCCTCAGAAGCTGCCCCTCTCATGAGGTACCCTCCATCCCGTATGCTGAAGCCCCTGTTTTCCAGGCTTAAGGATGGTTTTGGGTGGTTTGCTAAGCAGGAACAGAATTAATGTGAGTGGGACTCCCAGTGGGAGTCTATTCACTATTCAACTGGCTTCAGAGGAAGGCTTGAAGAGGAAGGTCTGTAAGAACACGCATAGTCAAAGATCACAGAGTCATGTGGAGTAAGAAAACTGATGCTTGTGGATGTGTGCCTCCTTTTTGAGCATATTCTGGCTTTTATTTGCTGTAACACAGGATTTCTTTTAAAATGCTATCATTATGCATTCATTGAGGAGAGCAGAGGTTAAGTGGCAAACTCAAGGTCTTTCAGACAACCAAGAGGATTAAGATAGGAAAGCACATTCAGGGGGGAAAGAAATACTTTAATAAGTTGTGTTGTTTTAGCTGCAAGTAGACTCTTTTTCTTCTGGGCTTTGAGGCAAAAATTGCCTTCTTTGTTGTGCATGGTGTAATGAAAGAGATTATGTGTGAAAGAGCCAGTAACTTTGGAACAGAAGACACAGCTCAAAGACATTTTAAAATGTACTTGGCAAAGGAGTATTAAACCAAAATGGTTGATATGATATTGGAAGGGTGTGGACTAAAATCCAGGGGACAAAATCAAACACTAGCTGTGAGGCCCATGAATGATCTAACAAGTGTGCCTAAAGGCAGCACAATGCAGAGCAGTCTAGCGTTGGTAAAGAGAATGAATAAAAGATGTTCTGAGGACCAAGAAATATTGGCAGCAAGATATGAACCCATTAATGAGTGAAGAATGGGAAGAATTGTTGAACTGAATATTGTTAGGGCACCAAAATTCCTTTTTTTCCAAGCTTGAACAAGAAAAAGAAAGAGGTTGAAACAAACAGGAAATAAATTTGGATGAGGCTTCAAGAAACACTAAAGAAGAGCAAAGAAGGAAAGGTTACCCAGCCAGGAATAAACTCACATGAAAAGTGAGTTCATGCAAGTCACCATGTTTAGGTGATGTACAATCCAGGGTCATCTGTAAAATTAATTCATCGATAAAACCTATTATTTTAAACATTAATAGCTTAATTCCTGCCATTAATGCTGTTTAGAAAGTGAAGAAAACTAATACAGTGCAGAAGAGAGCTAGACAAAATCAAATAAGAGATCAGATTTTGTAAAAAGCAACATAAAATTATCTTGACAGTTTGTATCTGTTCAAGATCAGTTTCCTCCAAATAAGACGTTTTATTTGCAAACCTAAGTTGTATGTAAAAAAAAGGAAAAGGTTCTTACAATAAGAGGAATTTTATCATCTTTCACACAGCATGTAATAAAGTTAAACTTCCATGGAGCAGGTCTCCCTCTACTTGTGCTTTAAGGATAAGGATCTGATTCATAGAGGGTACTTTTTTTTTTTTAAATTATAGTTAAGTATTTTCTTAATTCCCTTCCTCCTAAAACTTTACTTTGGTTCCCTTCCTAGAAGGATATTTTTGCTGTGAGGCACCGTGTGGCCTGTGAGACACTGCAGCATGGCAATTTAACTTGTTTGCTTCTGCTCTAGTTTGTGAACATCCACATCTGGTTCCTTGACACATTTGTGTTGTAAAAGTTCTGTTTTCCAGGAGAAACAAAACTTCCATCCTGCAAGTCTATGAAGTATGTAGCAGTGTCTTGACTGGTCAGAAAGCCAGAAGAGCATCAGAATGGAAACGGAGGGAAATAGGGAAGAGGACTGCAGTATTTACTGGCTGACCTCAGGGTCAGTTTGCTCTAGGAGCAGGACTGGTGTGCGCTTTCATTCTACCAAGTGCTGTCAGCTAACCCTCACTGGCCCAGGGGGCTTATTTCACCTGCAGGCAGACTCTGCTAGGGGGAATCTGAAAGGTTTATGAAAGCCTAGGTACTTAGTGCTTAAGTCTAAACATGCTGAAAGGAATGATGATGCAAACTTAAACAAGCTGTCTCTGACTCCAGCTCAGAGCCAGAGAGCTTGCTGTTTTTCAGACATTTTAATATTTGTTTGGGTTTGGTTTGGCTTTTTCCCCATGGGTTTAGCCAACCCATTCTGCCGTGAAAAACAGCTTGTAGCAGTAGTATGATCAGAAAGACACAGATTTAAAATCCTCTTTCTGAACTACCACCTCTGTGTATTTGTTTTCCCTACTGCCTGATGCACAGGTTTACAGGAGCTTGCCTTTCAGGCCCTCCTGGCAAGTACCAAAGAAGCTGCCCACTGGGCTCTAATCTGTCGTCACTGACAATCTGTGGCTTTGAGCAGAAGTGAAAGGGTCTGCAAGATGCATGTACAGGCAATGAGTCAGGCTAAAAGAACCGAAAGGCCGTCCCACTGTTTTAAGGTGCCTTCAAGAGACAGCACAGCTACAAAGAACACTCTCTGGCTCCAAACACTAGTGGCTAGCCAATCTTTTAAAAAGTGGTGCCTGTAGAAATATGTTCCTTATTTTTTTGTGAAGAAGCCCTGTATCTGTGGCAAAAAGGAACAAACAAAACCAAACCAACCAACAAACAAACAAAAAGAAAGAAAGAGGAAAACTATCAATGTAAATTAGAACATCTCCCCCAAATCCTCACCAAGGAGCTGAAGGAATATAGCCAGGGAGGCAGGTTAAGTGGTACCAGTTATGTGAAAAGCATTGAGGGCTTGGGATCAGAGGGAGGGGGGGTGACATTGTTCTTTCAGGAATTACATTTTAATTTCCCAGCAGCCAATGCCACACAGGCTTTTTCCTAAGTCAAAGCCTTTCCCTTTCATCTGAGCCTTTCCTTTCTTCGTAGAAAGGGAGATCCCATCACCAAGGAAGAAGTCACTATAACCCCTCCCTCCCATAGCCTTGAATTTGTAAGGGGATTCTTAATGATGGGAGACTACTTGCTCCTCTGAACTGCATTCCT